AGATTTTTTTTTTTTTTTGAATTATCAGTTATGTAGCTATCAACTGTCGTCTCAGATTTTTTGAATGAAATGAAAAAAATCTGAAAAATGAAAACAAATGTCATACATAAACACATATAAATGTATTGGGGTTATATATAGCATGTTAGATTATTGATTATTATTATTATCTTGCATATTTTGGTATCTTGGCAAATCTGATCAGCCTGAGACACAGCTGGAGGGGTCACATTTAAGATTATAGGTTATTCCTCTAAAGGAAACGTATATGAGAATCTGGAGGCATAAGTAAAAGTTTCCATTTGCTCTCATTTTAATCTTATTGCTGTCTAGAGATATTAAAGAAATCTCATTTGTAATTTTCCTTTCCTGTGAGTTTACACGTCACACTCAAGCACCCAAAAATGTAAAATGTTGTCAGTTTTGAGTGTGAGAGCTTAGAGGGCAATGCTGAATTTCCATAAAGTAGGTTAAAAAGTTAATCAAACAAATGTCACTGAATTCATCAGTATTGCATTAGCATTTCTATGTAAAGGAGATGTCACAATTACGTTATGAGGCTTGAATTTCAATGCAGCCAGAAGCAAACGTGAGAAAAGAGAGAGTGTGGCAATTTAATTTGCCATGAACCAGTAAATGCTCTAAAAAAAAAAAAAGAGACCATAATACAGTGTCTTGCATAACGCATTCACACTATATGTCTCCTGCCTCTACCTGTTTATTATTTAGCAAAATGTTAATGTTTGCAGTTTCATTTTCACTCAGCCGAAGTGTTTTTGTAATCACTGTGACATGGATTAATACGATATGTCTCTTTTCACACCTTCCCTGTGATTTTGTGCCATAATTGTGTTTTATTTATAATGGTGGTTAAATTTCCCTGATTATCCTGCCTACAGTTTTGAGCGTGCTCAGTGAGGACGACCCAATGAGAGCGGGTGTGTGTACAGTATGTGTGTGTTACTATCCCACACCTCTGCTTCTGTGTCTCTCATCCTAACAGGACCTCAGCCACACCGTGTCAGGAAAACACTAAAGGAAGCAGGCAGCCTTAGAGGCAAGCCATCTTATATCTTATATCTTACATCTTACACATACCGAGTGGTCTTATGCTGCAAATTTGAAGTAGTTAATTAAATGACTAAACCAAGGTCATTGCAAGGTACTAGAAAAAAAAAAGAACTGTAAATGTATTTCAGTCATCCTAAATGGCATCTTCAAGCAGCATTCTTAAGAGAAATAACCCCTTTTCAATGTCAAGGTAAATGATGTGCAATTTTTGTTTGCCCTAAAATATTGACTCCTAATTTAATCTGGAGAAAAGTTATTCACATGTCGATTTCACAGAAAAACACTGTAATCAGTGGTGCGAGATCTGTTTGCCTGGTCAATGGAAGACTGGTTTTAAGATTTAATTATAAAAAAAAATAAAAAATGTATATATACTGTATATTTATAACTCAACATTTTGAAACTAAAATAGCTTTACTGCCCATCTAATGCAATTTTACAAGCTAAGTTTAACACATGCTTGAGAAATTTATAACTGCTACAGATTATAGTAGCTGGCCACCAGAATATTTTATAATCAAATACTAATTTATTCTAGCAGGAGTAGTGAACATGAGGGTGTTTAGAGGCTATAATGGAGGTCTGAGGAGTCTGGAGTCTGTGCATACTGTCACGTCACCCCTGCATAATGGCTTCTGGTAAAATGGCTTTGACTCGGGTCATGCTGTTCGCCTGCTGATAACTGCAGACAGACAGGCACTACAAGATGATGTGTGAAATATGATGAGCATTCCTGTCGATGGGCAGTGGAAAGCAGGAAAACCCAAAAGCCTCCCTAAATGAAAACAAGTTTTACTGACTTGGCATTTATATTTGTAGCTGTATATGCAAACATACACGCACCTAGCTGTTTTCGGTCATGTGGATGTTCAGTCCTTTTCACTGCTGAATCTGAAATCATCAGTTTGTCTTATTGAAGATGTCATTCGGGGTTGATAGCACATACACATAACGTGAAAAGAAGAGCTTTCATACACTACATGACCAAAAGTATGTGAACACCTGCTTTTAATGAAATACATAATTACTAAAAACAGCATTCAATTAAAGGGATAATTCAGCCAAAAATGAAAATGTTGTAATCGTTTACTCACCCTATAATGTCGTTCCAATCCTGTGCGAGTTTCTTTCTTATGTTGAACATAAAAGAAGATATTTTGAAGAATGCTGGTATCAAACATTTGATGGTCCCCATTGACTTCCATAGCATTTCTTTTGCTTACTATGGAAATCAATGGGGACCAACAACTGTTTGGTTCTTCAAAATTATTCAAAATATCTTCTTTTGTCTTCAACATAAGAAACGTATACAGGTTTGGAAGTGAGTAGATGATGTAGATGTAGATGAGATACAGTAGGGTGAGTAGATGATGACAAAATGTAAATTTTTGGGTGAACTATTCCTTTAAGCACACAGTCAAACAATTTGTTTAAAATAGGGTTTTCAGACTTTCTGATGGTAAGGACTGATGAAATGATGATCTAATCTCAACGAAGAACCTCCTGCATAAAACATTTTATATAACAGAAGAGAAATGATAGAGAGAAAATAGCAAGATAACATCTTGTCTCCAAAATCAAAAATTTGTATTTTATACTGTCATATAAAATATATTCTATGAATATAAAGGATATATTATATAAATGTATTTTACAATAAATTAATAATAATAATTTATTTTATATATATATATATATATATGAAATTTTTCATATTTATCTATCCAATATAAGAGTAAGAAAACCAAAGAAACATTTTAATCCCATATTATATAAATATACTATAAATATGCTCAGATGCACACTTGTTTACTGTTAAACAAGTGCATGACTGTTAATAATATATTTGATACAATTACATTAGTATAGAATTACAACAACAACAACAACAAAACAACAATTACATGATTTCTAGACTATAAACAGTATGTAAAAAAGTAACAATGTCCAATTCAAACATCAATAACAACAACAAGAAGTGAACTTCCTAAGTCCATGCTTTTGAAATGCTCAACCACATATGGGTTGAGTGTTCAGGTGTCCACATAATTCTGGCCATATAAGTGTACTTTGTTTGTAATTGTTTTTGAGCTAGATGTTACACAGTTTTGTAGAGCTTTAACAAAAGACTGTGACAGGTTTGAGGTTTTTGCTGTTATGGTTTAGATGGCTGTAAGTTAATGTATGTTGAGCATATGGAAATATGTGTCTTAAGATGCCCTGTCTAAAACATGCTCTTAGGGGGTATTCAGCACATCAGCTCTGATCCCATGAAGGCGGTGAACGAAGCCATGGACGACTCTACCGATTGGATAACATCAGTCTTGACTTTTATGACTAATTTGGTAGCACCGGAAGAGGAGGAGGAGGAAGGTATATTAAATTGTTGTAGCCTTCATTCAACATTAGCAGCATGATTACATAGCAAAGTGTTTACTGTAATTTTAACAGCATCTCAGAAACCACAGACTAACCCACAGCGGTTTGATCTGACGAGCCATGTGTACTAATAGGTCTTATTAGAAATCTAAGCTGGCTTTAATGGTCACATTTTCCCCTTCTGCAGAATAAACCTGCTTTAAATGGTTTCCCAAAGGGATTGGATATCATGGATTGTATTTGTGCCAATATTTTATTTCAAGCAATCTATATTCTGACATAATATTATAAGATCAGCTAGAAAATTCAAAATGATGTGTTTCATAACCAAGAAATATTGAAGGATGGGTCACTATTTTACAGCTTTACACTACAACGAAGAGTTTTGAGAAAGAGGACGAGGAATTTCAACCAGGAACTGTCAGCCCGAACTCTGTGTGCCACATGTGTGATTCTACAAAATAACAATAAAAATCAAACAAAAGAGTATCACATCTCTGTCATTAATCTCTCACGTCAAATCTTATTGGTTTCTTTTGATAAGATAGTTATTCAGTGTTTGATTCACAAAGACTCACACATACTTGGTAAAATTGATTTAAAAATATTTGCATTTATGCTTATTCATTTAGGAGATTTAGAAACTTACGAATAAGAATACAAGCACTAGCAATTGATCCAAAGAGGACAACATAAGTAATGCTACTGTACAGAATTTCATTTAAGCACTAGGACAGTATATATAGAGAATAGATTACATTATATTATAAAAAATATAGTGTAATATAGTAAAATAATAATATAATAAGATTATAAAGATGTCTTGAGGATAAATATAAACAATGTTATTGATCAAGATTGTTGTCTGTTTTCAGGGAAAAAATTTAATTATATTAGACAAAATTATGTGAGTAAAATTGCATAAGACTTTTTAGAGAATGTATCTTACATCTATTTTTCTTACGTAATTGTCATTTTAAGCAAACTTTTCAAGAAAATGTGATGATAATAATAATAATAATAAAACAATAAATCTGAAAATAAGTCTTAACATCTTGCATTTTTAAGTACACTGAAAGAAAGACACTGAAAGCACTTTTTATTCTCACTTCGAAAAATATTTTTTACATTGTAAAAGCATTGCTCTTAAGATTTTTACTGTGTATTTTTTTATCGGAAAACAAGACAACAATACTGATTAAGAAAATATTTGTTTCCCAGTGTAGAACAGATGATGCATTATTTTGGATAAATAAAAGGAGTCCTTCAATAGACCTAAAAATAAAGAGAATTTGTCACAAAGGGAGAACAGTAAATCTCAGAAAATATGCCTACTGAAGAAGCAAAACAACCTGCGATATCTCAATCTCCCCTCTTTAATTTTGGAAGCTAATGGGTCATTGTGGTCTCATTGAGGGCAGCTCATATGGCCCTGTCTTCAACCACAGATGCACTTAGAAAGGTCATAAGCAATGTTCATTAGGTGCTCAATCTCCTCTACTTTTTACCCTGATTTTGTATCAAGTTTAGATTAGTGGAGTTCATTTTCAATTGACTTCTTTGACCTTGAAAATGCTTCACATCTGTTACAAGACTATCCAAAGAGTACCCATACAGTGAGGGTAGTATAGTCTAGTAGACTAGTAAAATAGCAAACAAAGCTTGCCATTAAACCTGATACTTTTATTATAGGCAAAAAATATGCCTATTTGCTTTAATCTAAAGATCAAAATCTCCAAAGATAAATAAAGCCTATGAAGATTAAATAAGGCCTATGACATAATTAATCTACGTTTTAATGGCATTTACTTTCAGGTTAATTACACTCTAAAAAATGCTGGGTTGTTTCAACCCAACATTGGGTCAAATATGGACTAACCCAACCGTTGGGTTAAATTTTTACATTCAATTTTTAACCCAAAAGTTGGGTTAGTCCATATTTGACCCAAAGTTGGGTTGAAACAACCCAGCCTTTTTTAGAGTGTACCAGTGACCACAGAACTGTAATCAATTAAGAAACCCCCACAACGCCTCAAGACTCATTATACAACCATTTTAAGATCTACATGATTTACATTACTACATTTAGCTAGTAGTATATTTATCATTAGAACACAAGCGTTTGGAATCATCTAGTTGAAATACAGCAGAAATAAATGTTTATGGGACTGTCAGAGAACAGTACACATATTCACACTTTCAGAAACATTCCTAAAGAGAGCTCAGAGCAGAGAGAGACACAATGGTGACATTGCCAAAATTGTTGAACCAATAACACGCTTAGCTAAGATTCCTCATAAAAGTCACCTTGAGGTGCTCATTTAAAATAAATGCATGTGGATTGACTGCCACATTGCTTCAATAGCTCCAGACAGTTATCAATGAATGCTTTTTAAATTGATGGTCATCTTTTGATGGAATGCAAGGTATACAAACTGATCACAACACTACATGCACATAGACAAATTATGTATACAGAGCCCGGTCTCATGAAAATGCGTATAAATAGTACGCCAAATAAAAATGAAAACTTGTGGTATTGATACGCAAAAATGGACTTTGGCGTGCATATGATACGCATGTGTTTGGAGTGCACGCATCTACCCCACAACCCTAATCCTACCCATCGCGTAGCATATGCACGCCAAAGTCCATTTTTGTGTATCAATACCACGAGTTTTCGTTTTTATTTGGCGTACTAGTTATACACACTTTCATGAGATCGGGTTGGTATACACTACCGCTCAAAAGTTTGGGATCAATAAGACTTGTAATGTTTTTTAAAGAAGCTTCTTCTGCTCATCAAGGCTGCATTTATTTGATCAAAAATACAGAAAAAAAAACAGTAATCTTGCAAAATGTTAATACAATATAAAATAATGGTTTCTATTTTAATATCATAATATCCCAGAATGCTTTACTAGTGCTGGCGTTTCATCGTTTTATTACTACCCAGAAGGATAGCAGTTAGTGTATTCAAACTATGGCTGAAAGGTGTGTTCCAACACAACTCTTAATATATTTATATTTACATTTATATGCATGTATGTACAGTATGATACTAGCTTGAACAACCATATAATTAACAAAACAATTACTGAACATGACATGGTGAGCTGCCTGAAATTGAATATTACAGCTATTAAACCTCCTACATGATGAATACAAACAAATCCTTGTCATTTTATAGTACTGAATTACCCGGTTGCATTGTATATGAATGTATATGAATCAGAATGACAGTCCAAGTGATGCATTCTGGGAAATGAAATGTTCACATTATATCAGTTCTTCCACCCTGGTCTAAAGGTTTATTTAAATATAATGAAATATATAAACTCAATACAAATTTCCATTTAGGTTTCAAATCAGTTGTCAATTGTGAATGGTGCACAACCTGATTTACTATAATAGTAGCTACTGTATATACAGTAATGGTAATTTATGAACATAGCACAGATATCCAAAACATAACAAAATTTCATAATCAGTTCTAGAAATTAGAAATGTCATGTAAATCATGAAAAATATTACTCAACCCTCTATGTAAAACCACCATGCTTTGCTGTTCATTTGAGTACTGACAGATGTATTTATGGACCACATTAAAACAGGCTCGGCAGATCAAATCGCTCGGTTGTCAAACAAGCTGATTAATTAATCATTTTAATTGTACACATGTAAATGCATTTCCAGGCATAAAGGTAGCTTCACAATAACTTCGATTTAAACCTTTTATATGCAAATTAATTGTGTAAGTATGAAAGAAAAAGATTGCTAGAAAAGACTTTGTGTGTGTGTGTGTGTGTGTGTGTGGGCTTGTGTTGGCATGCCCTTTTTTTTCTTTTATAGAAGTTCTAGAGGCTAGGAATAAAGTGCTGTGAATCGCAGACAAGCCTTTTTCCCTCTCCGATTCACCCCTCATCAATGTTTCAAAAGATCTATTTTGTAGGTTCTACTCTAACACTGTCTTCTGTATTCCTTCCTCCTCTACCAATTTAGGTGAGCGTCATTTTGTGAGGAAAAAAGGTTAGTATCAAACTCTGTGCTTCACTTTAATCATGTAGCCTACACAAACAAGAAAGGCATCATTTTAAAAGTGCACTTTGTGATTTTTCCAACATTAAAAAAGTGTTACACATACAGTAAATAAAGTAAAACCAAGGTACACTAACATGAGAAGAATAATCTAGTCATATCTGTAAGGGTAGGACCTTCTGCACATTTTTTATTCATATAATATTCATATAATAGAGCTTTTCACCTTGGTGACCTTGTGAGCTGTACGTCCTTCTTCATGGTTTTATAAAGCATTTATTCTACATTTAAAGTGGAGCATGACAGCACTTATAGGGTGTCAGGTGCTGTTTGGCACAAGTAATGATAACATACAGTAAATAAAGTAAAACCAAGGTACACTAACATGAGAAGAATAATCTAGTCATATCTGTAAGGATAGGACCTTCTGCACATCTTTTATTCATATAATATTCATATAATAGAGCTTTTCCCCTTGGTGACCTTGTGAGCTGTACGTCCTTCTTCATGGTTTTATAAAGCATTTATTCTACATTTAAAGTGGAGCATGACAGCACTTATAGGGTGTCAAGTGCTGTTTGGCACAAGTAATGATATTCAGTCAGATGTTTTGAAAATTTATACATTACTGCTGAACTAAATAAATATGCATATCTCCCCACAAAACGCTTCTCACATTAGGTCCGTGAGACTTTCAGCTGTTAATTGAGGAAGTATTAAGGGCAATATTTGAAGAGCAATTATTAGTTGCCTGGGAGGGTGAATATTTTGTCTGTTATTTAGGCTGTTAATTATAATAATTTTTTTTTATATAATTTTTGCTGGATTTGGAGTATCACATTCAAATATAAGCCTCACAAACTGTACCAGGCTATAAAATTGCGTTCTCACACAGCAGTGTACATGATCAATGATCCTTTATGATCTTAAATAGATTGTTCATCATCATTAACTCACCCTCAAGTTGTTCCATACCCCTGTACAGATTTTTTCTTCTGTCAAACACAAAAGAAGATGTTTTGCAGAATGCTGACACCATGCAAAGTGAATGGTGACTTGCAGCTGTTAAAATCAAAAGTTCATAAAAGGGCATGAAAAAGCAGATAAGCAATAGACTGAAATTCTGATTACTAAGAATTTTCTACTCTGTTACAGCCGTTGACATGCCAGATTTGAATATGTGCATATTCAAATTGTGCAAATGAGATATAAAAGGAAGATATGACTATAGCGCACCACTTTTCTGATACTTTAATGGTGCTTTTTTGTTGTTTTTGGAGTTTGACATCCTGTGGTCAGCATTAACTTTCTTTATATCCACGAATATACTGTCCTACATCTTCTTTTGTGATTTACAATATATATATATATATATATATATATATATAAATAATAAAAATAATATTATAAAGAATATCTCTTTGGATTTGAGACTTTAGTCTTTGCAACTTTACAGATCTTCTTTATGCACCAAGAGCTTGTAACACTCCAAAGGAAAGGAAAAATTGAAATTGCATCATATGACCCCTTTAATTACATTAGTAAGTTAGTATGATGTTTTAAAGTATGTCTCAGTGGCATAAGAAAGAAGAAAAGCAACATTTTTACACTATTAAACAAGGGGAGCTGAGGTAGAGTTGCACAAACTTTATGAAGGGCCAAAAATCAATAAAACAAAAACTTAAGTAAAGGCCAAACATTTCTGAAATTATAATTCTGAAAAAAGTCAATTCTGCATTATATCCAACTACATTAATAAAATGTATTAAATAAAATAAAAATAATAATTAAACTAAAATTTAAAAAACATTTTTTTATTTTAAAACAATTTTTCAAATCTTTTTTTACATTTCAATGCAAAAACATTAAAGCAAAATAATTAAAAATAATTAAATAAACAAAAAAAATTTCTATTATTTTCCCCTCCTCTTGTGATATGTCATGGCGGGCCAAATCAAAGGTCACCACGGGCCAACTTTGGCTTGCAGGCCCTGGTTTTTGGTTCCTGGCATCTCTGACTTAGAGACACTGTGAACAACTGCATTTTTATACCATGCATTAAACCTTACATTAACTACCTAATTTAATCAGTTGTTCTTATGTTCTGTGTCTCTCTCCTCTAGGAGAATTCTTGCCACCGAGGAAAAAAGGTTTGTGTCTTGAAGAGCGCTTGATGAGATTGCATTCATTAGAGAATGCATAAACCATCAGCATAACAGATAACAGTTTGCTTGAGTCTGTAATTAACACATTTATATTACAGTTGCATTAGGAGGGCAAGCATTAGAGTATCTTATGGAGAATGGGCATTATGCTGTCATTGATTGTGTTGTTACATTTGGTGCCATTCATAATCTTTTCCTTTTGTTTTCACACACCCTAATTATGATCCCCATGCTAATCAGTGTTCCATAAAGCTGCATGTATTTGTCCATTAACATCTTCATGAAATGATCATTAAGCCGTCTCTAAATGGTAAAGCTAATGCAGAAAGCATCTAAACACCATTATCAGTTTCAGCTAATGCAAATGTTTGTGAATAAAAATAGTCTCACATATGTATAATAAAAGTCTGTATTTGATTATATGGGCGACACATTTGCTGTCATTTGTCATATTAACACTTAAGGGAACTCATAAATTGGTGTGGCCTGGTTTTGCTTTAAAGGTACAGTCCATAATTGCTGACATAGGGACACCTAAGAGACCAGGAAATTAGCTGTGCACTCCTTAGACGTATAGGCAGTGTCACTGGAGGAGTATGATAAACCGTAATTATTGTTCTAAGAGGATGCTATACGCCCTGCAGTCACACAGTAATTTTAGATGCTGTGAACTGCCCTTTTGCGATGCATTTTATTGTACAATGCTTAAAGAACCTCTTAAAAATGCAATGATATGGTTTAAGACTGCTGTTTTCCTTCCTGTGTGGAAAGAGGAAATTAGGGCGGGACATATTTTTTTAAATAACCACGTATTATGTATTTTTGTGGACTAAAGCCTGGAATCCAGTTAGTATTTTAACCCTTCTGCATTCAATCATCCTGAAGTCAATGGGATTTCTGAATGGATGTTTGGTTAAATGCCTGAAATAAGGTCTGTGGTTAACGCAAGCTCAACAAACTAATTTTAACGTTTTATTCTATGATGTAAAACACATCAGTAATACCCCCATATGATTTTTTTTAAGCTTTTACTTGTCTTGAAAAAGGCCGTTGTTAACCACTGGCTGAATGGAACTACAAAGGTTGTCAGGAACATTATGCCGAACAGAAAAAAAAAACACCCATTCACTAGTCCGCTTTTACAGCTTCATTGTGTTCATAACTATTCCATCTCAAATTTTCAGAGAAAATGTTTTTTTAAATAAAGACTAAAAGAGCTACCAGAAACTTAATGGTGGTGACGTTGAAGTCATGCAACCATGGTATAGTTTGTTTATAGCTTACATTTGGCTTTTTACATTTGCCGATTGTATTAAAAATTAGTTGTGTTCATTTTTGAAGATTATCAAAATGTGTAAGAACATAATGTGTAAGAATCATAAACTTTGTTGGTCATAGAGCTTATTTTCTGCAATAATCCAAAAGCCAATGGCAAGGGAACCAGTGTGATGCTAACTTCTGGGTTGGTGTACAAAAATACGTAATCACCTCAGTTGGCTTAAAGTTACTATGAATTCAAAACTGTCACATGTCACAATAGGGAAGAAAAGATGATCGCAATTTCAGTTTCAATGCCAACTTTAACAGACATTGACTAAGAGGTCTCATCAAGCTGAGCAATGTATTCCTTTATCCATCAACATTTGCACATTCATTTTTTAAAAGATGTAACTGTGTGCATGTCTTCTGAGTATTCAACTAGTAAAACACATAATATGTATAATATAAATCTGATATGTTATGCATTGGATTGTGTATGTCTAGCCAAATATTATTTTGCTTCTGGCAAATACTGTGGGGCTTTTGGTTTGAACCCCATACATTCTTACAGCTTCACTGATATTTCTGAAAACCTAATGATATAGTTGCAGAGATACGGGCCAAGGAGATGTTAGAAGAGGAAGGGGAGTATGAGGAGGAAGAGGACGAGGAGGAGGAAGATGAGGGGCATGCTGAAGAAGAGGAGGAGGAGGAGGAAGATGAAGAAGAAAAAGAGGAAGAAGATGGTGATGAGATCGAGGAGGAGGAAGAAGAGGATGAAGAAGAAGAAGAAGAAGAGGAGGAGGAAGAAGAAGAAGAAGAGAAGGCAGATGCTGAGGAGGAGGAAGCAGCAGCAGCAAAGGAAGCTGTGGAGGAGGAGGGAAAAGAAGAGGAGGCTGAAGAAAAGGAGGAAGAGAAGGCAGATGCTGAGGAGGAAGAGGAGGAGGAAGCAGCAGCAGCAGAGGAAGCTGTGGAGGGGGAGGGAAAAGAAGAGGAGGCTGAAGAAAAGGAGGAAGAGAAGGCAGATGCTGAGGAGGAAGAGGAGGAGGAAGCAGCAGCAGCAGAGGAAGCTGTGGAGGGGGAGGGAAAAGAAGAGGAGGCTGAAGAAAAGGAGGAAGAGAAGGCAGATGCTGAGGAGGAAGAGGAGGAGGAAGCAGCAGCAGCAGAGGAAGCTGTGGAGGGGGAGGGAAAAGAAGAGGAGGCTGAAGAAAAGGAGGAAGAGAAGGCAGATGCTGAGGAGGAAGAAGAGGAGGAAGCAGCAGCAGAGGAAGCTGTGGAGGAGGAGGGAAAAGAAGAGGAGGCTGAAGAAAAGGAGAAAATGGAAGCTGATGCTGAGGAAGAAGCAGAAGATGAAGAGGAGGAAGCAGCAGCAGAAGAAACTGTGAAAAAAGGTAAGGAGGAAGAGGAAGCTGATGCTGAGGAGGAAGAGGAAGCTGCTGCTGCTCCTGCTGTCGAAAAGGAAGATACTTTAATCCCTGCTGAACCTTATGAGGTGAAAGAAGAACAAGAACAAGTCACTTCTAAAGAAGCTGAGGCAGCTGATGAGGAGGAGGACAAAATTGATGTAGTTAAAGAACCACCTGAGGACGAAGATGGAAAAGAAGATACTCCTGCTGATGATAAAGAGAAAAAAGAAGAAGTAGATGACATTACTGATGATGACCAAAAAGATGACCAAAGTGAGGAGAAAGATGATGATGATGAGGTCGAAGAGGCTGCTATCGTTATTGCTCTTGGTATCATAGCTGATGCTGGTGCTACAGTCACTGATGTTGAAGCGCAAGAAACTGGTGAGGAACCTATACTTCTTAAATCTGATGGTGATTCAGAGCTATTAACAACCATAGAGGAGAGTGCTGCTAAAGCTGATGATGCAGTAGCTGATTTAGCTGACTCACAAGATGGCTTAGCCGCAACTGATATCCCATATGATGACCATGATGATAAGATAGCAATAGATCTAGCTGAGGATCATGATGAGGTTACAGAAGACAGTCTTAAAGATGAGACTGGTGCTGGACTGAAAGACGCTGACTCTGAAAAACATATAACAAGTGAGGGTGAGGGTGTTATTGAGAAGCCTGAGCTAGCTGATGATGTTGCAGATAAGGAGGAGCAGGAGGAAGAGGGAAAAGAGGAGGGAGAGGAACAGATAAGGGGTGAGGATGAGGAAGATGATGATGATATTATAGTAACAACACCTGTAGTTAGTTCCGAACCAGGTGGAGATGAGACAACAGTGGTGGCTGATGAAGATGATGGCTCTTCACGTGAGAAAGGTACCAAGATTATTTGGTTTTTGACTCTAAAAGATACAGTACATTTTTGTTTTGTTTTATTTGTTTGTTTTTGCGAATCTTTTTAATGTGTCCATGTCAAAATAATATAGAAAAAAAAAAAGAAAAAAAAAGATTTTGCACATGGGTTCTTCTGCTGATTCATCAGGGTAACATAAAATATTGTTGCAGAGTTTCCTGGACTTATTAAGTAGTTCTGCAGTAGTTCATTGTGAAATGACCAGCATAACCAATATAGTCTGACTCCCAAACAACTTTTATTAACTGGTCCTTTTTAGTGAATCAAAAACATACAGTGTGACCAGTGTAGTCCGATTTCCGAAGGAATGACTCGGAGTCTATTCTTTTTTGTGAACCAAAAACAGAGCGCAACCAGTGTAGTCCGATTCCCAAACGAATCACTCTGAAACGTTTCTTTTTAGTGAATCAAACACATGATACAACCCAACCTAATCCGATTTTCAATGGAGTGACTCGATGAGTCGGTTCTTTTTAGTGATTCAGAAGAATACAGCGCTACTAGTGTAGTCCGATTCTTCAATGAATCACTCTGAGACTAATTCTTTCTAGTGAATCAAAAACATTCAACGCAACCAATGTAATCTGATTCCCGAGCGAATTCCTCTAATACGTCAACACTTTTTGGTAAATTTATTGCGTTTTGTCATTAGTATTATATAAAATAATGAATTAAATATTTTAACACATTCTGTTTGTTTACATTTTATTGTTTTGTTATACATTTAAAGCCATTTATTGGATTTTATTTATGCATTTATTTATTCCTTAAAAGTACTAAAAGAACAGGAACTGTTAGGAAACCTTATAAGAAGTGAAAGTTGGAATTCTCTATAACTCTGTAACTGTTATATCAGTCTGTAATTTGATTTTGAAGACTTTATAAAAACTCAAATGTACTGCCTGTAGGTTTTCTAGATTTTAACCAAACACTTTAACCATTTAGACATTGCTATCACACAAAAATAGTTTAGTCGAAGTTTGCTACTATACATATCCAAATATGCTGGTAGGAAAGGACCCCATTTGAGTTTGTGATTGAAGTCTAATTCATGCTGGGCGGATCAAAGAACAGCAGCTGGTGCTTTGCTGCTCAGCTGCCAGTGAAACGGTTAGAATCCATGAGAGACTGCTTTCAAGTCAGCTGTCACCAAACACTTGTCTCCAAAGGGGTCATTCAAGGGCATCAAAGTTCTGGATGATCAAGGAAAACACTGGGTTAAGCCAAATGAAGATGCACTTCCAAATGAGAGAAGATCAAAATAGGTTATTATGGCTAGAATGAGTAAAAAGTTAGAATTAGTGGTCATAATCATTGTCTTAGTAGCAGCAGCACATGAAGCTATTCGCAAGTTTTATGTATACTGCTTATACCTTTTGCTTTTTACTAATGGTAGTTAAACATAGGGCAGCTTGACTTTACCTTGCTAATTTAATTTAGCTGACTTGCTAATTCACTTTGCACAAAGCTAAACCACCTGTTCCAGCTCCTAACTGATGTTGCTAATGAAGTCTGAATGATCATGTCTCAATAGAATAATTGAAAAAAATGGTTCTGTATGTAAATTACATCTGATTATATCTCTTTGTCAAATGCTAATGCAATCTAGCCACCAACAATGGAAAATTTTAGCTTCTGCCAAAAACGCTTGGCAGCGTTCAAGAATAACAGGTCAAAGGAAAATAAATTGTTACTGGTTACTTAAAGTTGTAAAGACTATCCGGCGAGCCTTATAAATATGTTTGCTTGTTTATTCAAAGACATAACAACCCTGAAAGAAGAGGAGAAAGATGAAAAGGATGAAAGCGCAGAGGAAGTGGAAACTGCCGAAAAACCAGAACCGATCCCTAAAGGTACAGTAGCAAACATAGCAACAGTTTACTTGCATGAAGCATATAAAATGAACCAGAATTAAAATGAGAAAATTATGCTAACACTTATGAGCTCCAAGGTTATTGACTGTGGAGGAGTGGTGTTCTACAACAAGCCTGATGGTGGTGGATGCAGGAGAAGAGGGCATGTGTGTGTGTGTGTGTGTGTGTGTGTGTGTGTGTATGTGTGTGTATGTGTGTGGCTGTGGATGTGAGGGTTGAGCAGACCCTTAGGCCTCAAACTTTGATCTCCAAAGACTTCCTTATGGCTAATTTTTCCATTTACTCCACAGCATTAGGATGGTGTTGGTATGTGTCTAGTTGCTTGGTGTTCTGCACTGGTCTCTGCTGCACTCTCAGAAAAAAAAGGTACAAAAGCTGTCACCATTTGGTTTTTTTGTACCATTTAGATACACTTTAGGTATTAATATGTACCTTTTGGGTACAAAGGTGTACCTTTTGAAAAGGTACCGCCACAGTGACAGATTTTGTACCAGCTTTTTTTTTTCACAGAGTGTTTAACACTCAAGAGAGAGAAAAAATTGTGCAGCTGAACTCACAAATAACATACTCCCACTTGTTTAGTTAAAGATCACAGGGGTCTGACCTCATTAATTAAATGTTTGACCAACTATTAAACTGTTGTGTTAAAGTTACCATTTATTGAACTTTATTTATTGAACTGAATATTTAAGATTTTTTATATATTATAGTTTTTTTTTGTTTTTTTTTCATTTTTTATTAAAAATACATATTTTCAATTATCTATTTAAAATAATTATTTTAATGGTTAATTTGAATTAATATATAATTAATCAATAATAAATCTGAATATATATACTTTACTGGGGTTCCCCTCAGCAAGGGAAAGGGGGGAAAAGTTGTGATCTGGCTGAACACCACAAAATCATTAATAATGAATAAAAGGTATAACCTCAGCCATGTTAAAATGAACATTAAATAAAAGCACAAAAAGCACAAGGATCTCGATAATATGATTTCCTCCTGTGAGACGTATTCCTCTCTTTCCAATTATTCTTGTTATTTGATTTATCGATATGGTGTTGAACTAGAATTTTACTGAATTCTACGGTGGCCGAGAAGTGCAAAGCAAATCACAATTCTGAAAACAAAATAACAAATTACAAACGCAAATGCAAGTCTAAAAAACAAAATAACAATTCAGAAAGCACAACAACAATTCAGAAAACATTATAACAAGTCCTTTTTTTCCTCCCTTTTCAAATCTCGTATTAGCAATGGACTTTATTTACACTAAGTGAAAATAGCAGTATTTGTAGCAATATGCTATTTACACTAAGTGCAAATACCTATTTACACTATGTTAAAATAGCAGGATTTCTACTATCAAGTATACTACTTGTTGCAAATAGTGGCAGTTATCTGCACTTCAGTATTGTAGTACATTATAAAACAGTATGCAATAATAACGTATTTATTTTGTTTTTGAATTTGTCATTGTGTTTTCTGACTTGTTATAACGTTTTCTGAATTGTTGTTGTGTTTTCTGAATTGTTATTTTGTTTTTTAGACTTGCATTTGCGTTTGTAATTTGTAATTTTGTTTTCAGAATTGTGATTTGCTTTGCACTTCTACCACCGTAGAATTCCTCCTGAGGGCAAAGGATCCTACTGGGTATCAGATTAAAATCTGGAGAGGAGATTGAGGATAAAGCCATGTGTGTATTGCAAGATGGAAATCTAATCCCGCTCTGAGACCGTGTATGACACAGCAGTATCACAGACTCAGATCTCAGATGAGTTCAGAGGACTGACTGCTGCTGCTTCTGTCTGGGAACAGCAGAATGAGGTGTGCTTGTACCTGCAGAGACAACACTGGAACACAGTGACATACACACGGTGCCACAGGAATACATAGAGAACTGATACTTATACAGAGAGGTTTATTTGGTAAACGAGAAAAGCTCATTATACGGTCCATTCAAGAGCACCGTTAGAAACCATAGCAAGTTTTAGCTGATAAACTTTAGACAAGGTGCCATTCAAACTTTACTTTTCTAGTTAAATTTGTTGAGAGTCTGTTTTTCACCTACAGTGATTTTGCAGCAACATATTGATCTCCTGCTGTTTGTGCAATGAGCAGATTACAAATGTATGTAAAGTTTGTTGGCATTTATGCACACTGAATTTAATATGGCTCATGCATATCCTAAATTGACTGCTGCCTTTAAGTGAAATGTAATCAGTTTATTTTTAGCCATGCTTTCATTAAATTTCCACAGACACATTCCTGATCACTACACAGGTGCTGGCATAAAGCATTTTATTATTTTATTTGATTTTATTTTTTTTTTTTTTTTTTTTTTTTTTTTTTTTAAAAAAAAGGGGATTTTTTATTTTTTTTTTTTTTTTTTTTTTTTTTTTTTTTTTTTTTTTTTTTTTTTTGTTACACCAAATACACAAAATAATGATCTTTAAAAAAGCATCATATGACCCCTTTAATTTAATTTTAGTTTAGTTTATAATTTTTTTTATTTCAGTTTATTATTTTATTTTATTAACAAAATGTGTAGAAGTGTACAGTGTGTGTGCGTGCTTTTACAGTGTGTGCTTGCTTTTTACAGTGTGTGTGCTATCATATATATATGTGTGTGTGTGTGTGTGTGTGTGTGTGTTTATTTTA